TGACCAGACCGGCGGCAGAGATCCGGGGCATGTAACGGGTGGAAGGCAGCAAGCGCCGGTGGATGCCGTCGCCTGAACGGTGCGTGTTAGAAGAAGCCGTGTGGACCAGGGCATGAGCTCTCGGGAAGACTAACGGGCCAACAGGGAAGGACGTCTCGAGAAGGAGAGTTGGGAGAGAGGAGAAGCAGGCAGCCGGGGTCTGACAGAAGCCAAGGACAGAGAATGCTGGGTGTTGTGCGCTGTGACCCAGTGATCAAAAAAGCTACTGTAAGACACTGATTTTACGGGAGCAAAACACCTCCTTGATCTCTCGTGGGGGGAGGATGACAATAGCGCAGCCCCGAGACAGTTCCCAGGCGAGGAGGATGAACATTACCAGTGAGCACGCTTTGGGCTGTGGGCAGCACGGGGCCCAAGCCAAGATGGGCTTCAATAATGAGGTAATTCTCCCACGAAACAGCCCTTCCAGAAGCAGGTTGGTCCTCCCTCGGCAACATCAAGATCCAGTCTCTCTCTGCTTCGCTCCTCAACCGTGTCTCCCGGCAATTCCAAGAGGGTGGCCACAGCACCCACCATGAGTTTCTCCCCCCGGAAGGTGAAGGGGCATAAAATGAGAGCTGTGTCTTAGAGGGCCCTTTTTGTAATCGGGGAGATAACCTTTCTGGAAGTGCCGTAGTCCCTCCCCATACCCACCACCACCTTCCCCTCACAGCTCCCTAACCGAGTCACGTGGCCCTACCCACACCGGGTGTCAGCCAGGGTTATGCCATCGCCGTGGATGCCCCAGTCTGATAAAGATGCCTCCCCCAACCCCACCCCAAGCACATGGTCATGGAAAACTGAACCATAGGTTATTTTAGCTAGGAGGATGAAATGGGGGGGGGGGCGCTGTTAGGGGAAACAGTCCCATGGTGCCAAACACAGTGATGAAGTCAGACCACGGCGGCAGGACCCACAGACAGCAAATGTGGACAGTACTTGCCAGGACGCTGTGACTGCAGCAGAGCAACTAGAACTTCAGGGAGACACGCTGGGTAGGAAGCCTCTGATTTTAATATGCCTTAAACACCTTTGAACTCACTTCTTCAAAATTAACTTGGTGAACAGAATCTGACAGCGCAGGGCAAATGGGAGTCTGTTTAGGGATTTCCCAGCCATCCCCCACCACCCTGCTCCAGCCGTAGCCCCCAGGCCCCCTCCGGTCCTGTCGGTCCTAATTGCTCACTGTCTGGATTCTCCAGCCAGGCTTTCTCAGAGGTGGCACCACCGGCACTTTGGACTAAAGAATTCCTGGTTGGGAGGGGCTGTGTACTTTAGGATCCAGTCTCAAAGCTACTGGATACCCATAATGCCCTTGCTGCCCCTCAACTCTCAAGTGACCGTCAAAAGTGTCTCTCTACATTGCCCCGGGGAGCAAAACTGGCCCTCATTGAAAACCACTACTCTGTACCACCACGTGCTTGCTCGTATAGGTTGGTCTCTGAACGAGCCATCTGACTGGGCCCCTCTGTTGCCTTCCCTACAGCTGCCTCTGGCTCCTCCAGGTGCTGATGTCAGTGTATTGCCATTGCCGGTCCCTTTGTCACGGGGACCCTAGTGGCGTAGTGGTCATGTGTTGGGGCGGAAGTTCAAAACCACCAGGCACTCCGCAAGAGAAAGATGGGGTTTCTATCCCTGTGAAGTTAGTCTTGGAAACTCACAGGGGCAGTTCTACCCTGTCCTAGAGGGTCGCTGTGAGCCGGCACCAGCTGGATGGCTGTGAGTTTGGTTGGGATCTACTTACCCGCCTCGCTGACTCAATTCAGGGGGCAGGAACATGTTTGTCCTGCTCAACAGCTGAGCTCTAGAGCCCCGCACCCTGGCTGGTACACAGATGACCACACACACACACACACTGAATGAATGAATGAATGAATAGGCTACCATCAGCTTTTCAGATCCTCACCACTGAGTTCATGGACTAAGGACCCACCTTTCCTGCAACGACTCTTTTTGATCATTAGGTATTCTGGACCTGTTTTGAGAATCGGACAACATCTTTAGGCCTTTGCCCTCTTAAAAACACTTAAATGTCCTAATGTTTATTAACCCAAAGTCCACGCAAATGCCCCCAGAGAACTCCCTTCTCCCAGGGTAAGAACGAAGCTAAAATTAATTTCCGAAAACCACGACAGTGACAAGGTCAGTCCGCCTCTTCGCCCTTCTGAGCCTCTCTGCCACCAGGATGGGTTCAAAGTCAGCTGCCCTTCCAAGCCCCGCAGCACCTGGCCTTTGAAGGGGCTCCCAGGCCCTCTCCCGCTAACTTTCCAGGCATGATTTTCTCTGGCCCAGTTCTCCCTCTGACCAGATATGGTAGCTAATGTATAAGCCGACCCTACATTTTCAAACTAAAATTTTATTTTGAAATTTTATTTTTTAAATTTCAGGTCGGCTTGTCCTCGAGTATATACAGTATATAATCTGGTGTCAATTTGGGACTTGAGAGGATTAAGAGTGAAGGGGTAGAATCTAGTCTGTCAATTGCATCATAGCCAGTGAGGCCTCTGTGTGGGCATGGCCTTCTCCTAAGAATTCTGGGAACTCCTGTATTTTCTTCCTTGGTGGTGGGAGACACTTTTTCTTTCTAGTGACAAGGCTCACTCCATGTGATACACTCTACTAACAAGACACGTGGCACTACACTGATAGACCGTGCCCTGGGAACTAGAGGAGCCACGTGGAGACCCCTGCCAGCACTGAGATGCTTCTACCGCCACTGGATCCACAAGACTTTGCACCCACTGACCTGTGATCTCCCTACACTCGATATCATTGTATGAGTTTCATGAGTCTGAAGAGTACTTTATAGATTGGTATCAGACATATGGGCTAATATCGGATTTATGGACTTGATCTGGACTGGGCTGGGATGTTTTCTCAATAATCAACTTTTTTTGTATATAAAGCTCTTTCCTATACACACGAGTCTCCCTGGATTTGTTTCTCTAGTCTACCCAAACTAACACACCAGATGAGTCAGGCGTCCGACTCTGCTTCTGTTTCTGCCTCCCAGAACACCCTTCCTCTCTTGGCCACAGAACCACTCAGACCGTCAGCTAAGTGGCATCTCTAGCCCCTCTCCTCAGGCCAGTTCTCAGATATTCCCCTTAGGGTTTGAGGTACTTTCCCTGCCTGGCTGGGTGCTACAGAAGGTCAGGAATCCTGTGTGAGCCATGGTTACATCTGAGGAGAGCAACCCAGTCAGTGATCGCTGGACATGGGATGTCTGTCTCCCGGCCGTACACAAATCCTGAGTTTTTGCTTATTTACTCTGCAGTGCTCAGGGAGCAGGTGCAACCCCAGGTCCAGAAGTAGAGCCAGCTTTAGCAGGACACCAGTCCTGAAGAGATGGAACAGAAAGGCAGGCAGACTTTTAGTGACTCAATCCAGGCGCTGGATCAGCCCTTGCCTGAAGCCTGTCCTTCTGGTTATTCCATTTCCCTAAGTCAATACCTTCCCTTTGCTAGCACAACTTGAGTATGGGTTCCTCTAGCCAGCACCCACAACAGCAAGAGGAGCCCAGTGAAGAAGTACAAGGGGAATGGATAAGCAGCGTCCCCTAAAATCCTGTAAGCACAGCAAAGAGTGGCACTGCGTACACTTTGTTCCTCCCGCCTTCCTGCACTTAGAAGAGCAAAACCTCTCTCTCAAAACAGGTGCCAGGAATTAACCGTCCCATATTCTCGTTCATGGCTTTGACCTTTCCCTCTCTCTCCATAGTCTCAATTCCCCCTGACCCTAAAAAGCACCTCTCACCACTCCCAGAAGCTAGAGCCCCACCTCTTGCTTCCTTTCATCTCCTTGTCTGAGGCATGGACGGTGTGAGAATGCACCGGATGCACACACACACACTAGGAGTCTCTGTGAAGGCTCCAGATTGACCTCCCATAAAGTGTTTGACCCTGGTGCCTGCGGCTTGCTCTGTGTGAGCGTGGCAGCCTGGCACTGTGGCTCCAGTCCCAGGCTCCCAGGACTGGCCACCAAGTGTCCCAGGCCCATGGGCAGCTGGGGCATCGAGGGCTACCTCCAGCCTGCCGCGCTCAGGAGGTGAGTCGCTCCTGTACCCAGGAGTAGTCAGGAGAACCCTGTGCCCATGCTCTGGAACTGCCCACAGGCCCCAAGGGCCATGGGGAGCCAAGGGTTGCTGGAAGGATCCTGGTGGGGCTTTGGGGCTGGGCCAGGGCAGCGGCCCCTCAGCGGGAAACAGGAGCGGCCTCCTGAGGAACAGGCAGCAGCCAGATGCATGCTCTTCTGCTCCAGCCCCTCGGGCGGTGGGGGCTGGGCCTCTGTTTTGGTTCACGCTCTTGGCTTTTCCTGTATGTTCCCACGGCTCCCATAGATTCAGCCTGGTTCCTGCAGGAGACATCAGGCCAATGGCAAGACTAGGTGTCTTTGCCCAGATGGAACCGGTAAAGCCGGTAAAGCTGAGAGGGGGATCCCCAGGGCACCCGAGAGCAGGGGGATGAGGGCAAGGTCAGAGCCCAGTAGACAGTTCAGCCTGGGGAAGTTTCCAGCCCGATCCTCTCCTTGTCCTCCTTTCCATCAAGGGAAACCACCCTGTGTGGCCAAGGGAGCCCAAGAGACGGGCACTGACCACCTGAGCACACGGCAGTCTGGGGAAGGAAGAGGAAAAGCCAAGTGAGAAGGGGTCGTGCAGAAAGGGGCAAGTTCTAGAGGGAGAAGGGGAGGGAAGACAACAGGGAAAATGCTAGGTGTCCAGGCAAGCCTCAATGCCACCCCACTCCTACCCCTATCAAGGGGAATCACTAATTCCTCAGGGCCCCACACCCACTGCCCTCCCATCGAGGCTGTCCAGAGAAGGCTGAGCCAGAGACACCAGGTGCCCCCCCACCTGTCTGCCCAGTCCCACTCAGGCACACCCCCAAAACCCAGTTGCCCCCCTATTACAGGTAACCAAGATATGCACACATGAACACAGCTTTGTGACTTAAAATACTAGGTTTTGCTTGTTTGTTTGTTTTTTACTGAAATAGGAGCTGATCAAAAAAAATGTCTGGGTGGGGAAGGAGAAATGTTGAAGCAGCGAGACTCGTGCTTGCTGTGACCAGCGATGGGTATACATGCCAGTCCATCTGTCCGTCTGCCCACCGTGGCAGGATGGTAAGGCCTTGGTGGTGTGGAGAGCTCGGCTGAGCTGGGCAGAGGGGCAGGGCAGGCCAGTCCCGGGTCGGGAGGTCAGCCACACCTGTCCTCCTCACGGGCAGGAGTGTCCTCAGCTGAAGGGCTTCACCAGCTTCATGGCAGCATAATTCTGGAAGGAGGGAGGAGGCAGGGTCACATGTGGCCCCAGCAGGGCAGCAGGAAGCGCTGGCTTTCACTGAAGGGCTTGGAGGGTGAGGCCCAGTTGCCTGGGAGGCAGAGGGCTGGGAGAAGAGGCTCATGGCCATTCACCTGCCTGTCCCCACCTGCCCTCGCCACCCAATACCCAGACTCAGCCCACACTCAACCAATGCTACATCTCGACTGCCTCCCTCCACCCAGGGCTCACGGGGTCTTCTCTCCACCAACCAAGTTAGAGACACCCTATGTCCAGACCAGCTGCCACGGAGACCCCTCTGAGACCAAGGCCAGGCTGGGGGCAGGACCGGCCAGGACTCTCACCCTTCTCCCCAGAGCCTACAGCGTGTCCGTCCGTATTGGGGCCGGGTTCCAGGAGTGACCCCCAGGTCAGTCCATGACAGAGATGGGTCTTCCTTCATTACACACTGCCTGCTGCAAACCTGACAGGCACCTCCCCTCCCCATGCCTTCCGCTGACCCCCTACCCCACCCCAAAAGAACAACCATGAAAACACACACAACACAACACAGGGCTCCTAATTGGGACAGGATGTTCCCCAGTGCAGCCCCCGAAAGCCAGCTCTACAAACAAAGCCCTGATGCTCCCTCCCTGACAAAGGCCTCCTGCCTCCCCGCTGGCCCACCTCCCACCAGCTCTGAGGGAAAGGCTGGGAGGAGGCAGGGGGTGGGCCTGCCCCTGGGCCCCTCCACCAGGCCCTGGTGAGAGGGATGGCACCACAGGGAGGCCCCCTGCTCCCCAGCCTGATGCCAGGTGAGGGAGGGGCTGCTGGAAAGCAGGGGCCTGGGGCCTGCACCTGGCCACCCGTTGGAGCTGAGACTGGCGGGGTGACTTGCACACTTGTAGAAAGGCAGTCTGGAAGCAAAGGCAGTGGAGAGCCCAGCCAGCCTGATCCCTTTCTCCTGATCACCTGACACCTCCCTAAGGGCCTCCTCCCCTCCCCCAGGTCGTAGGGAGGGAGGGCAGGGTTGTCACTTCAAAGAGGGTGATTTCCAGAACAACTTGAAGGACTGTGTTGGGGACCAAGAGACAGAGGGACTGATGGGGCGCCCCGCCACCCCCATCCCCAAGCGCCACTCGGCACCTGCCCGCAGGACCTGGGACTAAGGCTGCCGGGAGTGCAGGCATGAGGCTGGGAGGGACAGAACTGACTCTTGCCTTCCTTGCCCTGCCCAGCCAACAGCGGGGACACCTTCCCCAGCCCCTGCGGTGGGCTGCTGCGGAGGCCAGGCACCGAAAGGGCAGGGAGGAGGTCACTTTGAGCCCAGCCTGTTTCCTCCCTGGCACGTCAGGAGGCCCTGTGTGGAGGCCACGGGGAAGGGGGTGGACGTCCCAACCACAGCCCCAGGCCCAGAAGGTCTGTGCTGACCTCCGCCAGCCCCTGCACAGGCAGATGTGGGGGAGACGCCCGGGAACCCGACGCCGCGTGCAGGGTGGCATGTTCTACCTCAGGGCTCCTTGGCCCTCGATGGGCCCAAATGCAGCTCCCCATCAGTCAGGCCCAGGAACCGGGCCTTCCTAACAAGCACCCAGTGCTGCTGACGCTCCTCAGAGCCCACGTGCGTGGCAAGGGCAGCTCCCAGCTCTCTTTTTCTCTAAGTTCCCACTGCCTGCCCCTCACCACCCAGCAGCCCCTGGGGTGCCTGGCCAGCCTGGATGGGGCATCTGCTGCCCTCTTCACCTTCCATCCCAAGGGGGCACCAGCCCCAATGAGAGGGTCCTGAGATGGTGCCTGTTCATTCACCCCGCCCCCGCCTGGCTACAGGAGGCAGGACGCAGGCTCTAAGATCCTCCGGCAGATGCTGGTGAGACCCTCTCCCAGGCCCAGGTTCCTGATCACAGCCTCCAGTCCCCATCATGGGGCTTCAGCGGGTGCAGACCTTACCGACCGACACAGGAGTCTTCTCAACTGCTCATCTCCCCTCCCCTCTGGACCCAGTTCCAGAAGCTCACCCCAGCCAAGGGGCCTCACCCTGTAAACCCTCTGTGATTACTCCAGCCTTGTTGATGGGTCACCCTGATGAGGACAAGGACTCTGTACCCCCTTGTGGACCAAGTGCCCCCCCACCCCCCGGGCCAGGACTTTGTCCCCCTGAGCAGAGCAGAAACTCCTCAGAGCAGAGACCTGCCTCCTCCATCAGACCAGGAACTCCCCCAGGAGGGAAGTCATTGCTCTCTGGCAGATGGGGGGATTCATTGAGGAGGACAACTGCCTAGAACACAGAGGCTGTACCCTGCTGAGTCGGGCAGGGCTCCCCTATGGGGCTGTGCCTATCCCTCGGGCCCACTCACCGGGAAGGCGTAGACGAAGATTCCCAAGAACAGTAGCAGGACAAAGAGGATGATGAAGAGGATGATGGCGCAGCGGAACCGCCGCCACAGGATGAACTTCATCGTCTTGTACGGCGAGGTGAACCACAGGAAGGAGGTGTCAGGGCGCCTGGAAGGCAGGTTCCAGCAGTCAGTCAGCAAGAACCCTCGGACCACGGCCCGTTTCTCCTAGGCCGGCTCTCCACTCCCAACGTCAGGTCAGAGGCCCGGCCGGCCCAGCTGTATGCCCACCTGGCCCCCAAACTCTGCCCCAAGCATGCAGCCACACCGGCTGCCCCAAGCTGCTGCTACCCCATCACACAGCCCTGCTGCCCTCCTCTGCTGGGCACCTGCGGAACACGCCATGCCCGCAGTCCTCCCTCTCGAGCATGCCCTCACTGCCACCCTCCTCCTTCCTGCCCCAGGACACAGTAGTCACAGGCTACAGGTCTGGGAGCAGGGCAGACCCTCTGGGGCTGTCTCGTTCAAGGAGGCCCCACAGTAACAGACAAGCAAATGGCAGGCCCCTGGGAGGGAGGGATGGAGGGACGGTGGCAAGAGAACCCAGAAAAGCCATTTGCTCCCACTCATATTCAAGAACAACTTGAGCCACAAGTGGGATTTCATGTCTCGCTCGCTAATCATTAGGGAAGCAGGGGAGCCTCTCACCTCTCTGGGCAGGCCCAGTTTCCCCAGCCAGGGGCCCTGCCAGCCCCATGGCACCGGCATAGAACTGTGGCAAGGGGAAGGGTCTGTCCTATGCCAAACCCTAGCGGTGTCAATGGCAGGGGAGACCCAGCAAAGAGCCCACGAGAGCCATCGTTGGGGTCCTTGCCACTGCCTCCCAGGCGGCCACGTCCACCGGCTTCGTCTAGCCTAGAGGCCGGTGACGCCGGGAGGCAGACCTGGTCTCCCCATTTCACAGACAGAAAGGTCAGGCTGGGAGACCATTCGACAGCCACACTAGAATCAAAGGAGAACCACAGCAGCAGCTGGATGAGGAAGAAGATGCTGACCAGGCTCCAGCAGAGCAGGTTGGAGACCTACAACAATGCCACTTCCTCAAGTGGGGCAGAACTTACGGATTTAACGTGGCTGGGATGGTTCCTTCATCTGTAACACGGGGATCGGAACAGCCAGCGCCCAGGGGAGGTTCCCCAGCACAAGGCCCACCTGCCCTCAGACAGTGTGCTCAGCACCCAACCAGCAGGTACCCCAACCTGCCGCTGTCCAGTTAACCCCGACTCAGGGCAACCGCATGGGTGGGTGTCAGAGAAGGGCTCTATAGGGGGTTCAATGGCTGAGCCGTCAGGAGATCTGCAGCCCCTTCTTCTGAAGCGGTGCCCTAAGTAACACCCTAAAGGCCCATCTTTGCCCTGTGCTTATCTGTTTGCACACCTAACAGGTCCATCACGGGGCCTGTGTCATGAATTACTGAGGAGTTCAAGGCTCCCTGGGACGGCAGCATCCTTCTCGGTTAGAACAGGGTCCCACATGAGGCACGTCTCTCTCTCTCTCTCTCTCTGTCTTTCTCGGGCCTGGGCTCTCCTGTGCACTGAGCAGCGGGGTGGCCTGTGCTCCCCAGCACTTAGCCCCAGGGTGCAGTGCACACGGGCCAGGGCTGGGCACTCACCTCGGGTCCTCGAGCTTGGGGTTCATGTTGGGTTCATCCCGGCCCTGGCCAGCGGGCCGCTCCTCATGCTCGCGCTCAGCTACGATCTCCAGGGTCATCTCCAGCTTGCCCTGCGGGCAGATGGAGCTGGTCAGGCGCACAGGCTCTGCCAGGCACCTAGGCAGAAGCCAGGCCAGGGCAGACCTCAACAGCCACGTGCTGTTGTTGGAGCTATTAGGGGCCACCCTGTGTGACAGAGTAGAACTGCCCCCACAGCAGGGTCTTTACGGGAGCTGATAGCCAAATTTTTCTCCTGCAGGGCGACTGGATGTGTTCGAACCACCAACCTTTGAGTTGGCAATCAAGCACTTAACCGTGGCGCTACCAGGGCCACTGAATTGTTTTGAAAGAAAAAAAGGATACGGTTATTTTGATCATCCAAAGCAGCGCATGGTCCTTGTAAGGAAACAAAGTTGGATAAAGAAAGGCGAATGTCACACATTCTTCACTCGATGGACAAAAACTGTTCACATTTTTATGCATCTTGACTTTTCCTGTTCCTCTACAAGTACGTGAATTATCAGGCTGTAGGCATAGGTCAAAGGAGCCCTGGTGGTGTAGTGAGTTAGGAGTTGGGCTACTAACTGCAAGGTGGGCCGTTCAAGACCACAAGCCACTCCTTGGGAGAAAGAAGAGGCTTTCAACTCCCTCAACGATTGACAGTCTCCGACACCCACAGCAGCAGTTCTACTCTGTCCTACACCCCAGGGGTCGCTATGAGTCAGCATAAACTCGATGGCAGTGGGTGGTTTGACTTTATATGCACTTCCATCGCTTGCTTCTCTGCTCCTCACCACCCCCCCGCACCCCACTTGGGCATATATTCTATTTCATCATATAATTATATATTCTTTAAAGTTTGGTTTTAAATGGCTGCAAACTATCCTATGGGATGGCTGACCATAATTCACTGAGCAAAAACTACTTATTTTGGTTCATTTGGGTTGCTTCCAACTCTTTGATATTATAATTAATGCAGCCACAAACATCCCAGGGCCTAAATTTTTAATTGCATCTGGTTATTTTTTTTAGGAGAGGTTTTAGAAGTGGGACTGCAGAATCAACCACCATAAATATCATTAAATGTCTTGCTGGCTATTACTAAATTGCTTTTCCAAGCAGTTAAAAACATAGCTCTCTCCGGCAGATACCTGTCTCCACATACTCAGCAATGACAAACATGATTACTTTTCACACACATTTCCTGGTTGATCAGGCAAAAATGCTATCACTTTTTTAAATGTTCCTTTAATTATGCAGGGTAGGGGTAAATGCTTGTTTCTCTTCTTTGCTGCTTACTGGCAAGGGGTCTTGCCTCTCCAAGTTCTCTCCTCCTGCCCTCACGCGACTCTCTTTGGGTGTGCTTGAAGGCCCGGTTTCGCCGTTTTCAGAAATGTTTGTGTAAGACAACCGAAAAGTGGGTGAAGGGAGAGGTCGGACAGGACAAGATATGACAAAATACCCATTTATAAACTATCAAGGGCTGATGAGGGAGGGGGGAGCGGGGAGGGAGGGGGAAAATGAGGACCTAATGTCGGGGGTTTAAGTGGAGAGAAAATGTTTTGAGAATGATGTACAAATGCGCTTTACACAATTGATGTGTGTATGGATTGCGATAACAGTTGTATGAGCCCCTAATAAAATGTTTAAAAAAAAAAAAGAAATGTTTGTGTAACAAGGATATATATATATATGCATGTATGTATACATATATGCACATATACACATATACATATACACACACACACACACATATATATATATAGCAAGGGCCCCTTTAAGGGCTGGCTGGCTGGCCGCCATGTCTAGTGACCCATTAGGGATGAACCTCCTTTCCAAGCTCTGCACCCCAGGAAGGAAGGGATGCACCCTGCTCCTCTGGTCGAACTCCTGAGCAGAGCAGACCTGCTGGCACGGAAGGACCCTGGAGCCCTGTCCACTGTCCCAGGACACGCTCACAGTGAAGACCTGGTGAGCAGTCTGAACAAGACCCACAGACAATGGTCATCGTTCCACCATCGTCCCCTGGAATTGGGACCCCTCGTGAGAGGAAGGCTGGGCACTGGGAGGGAGGAGGGTGGGTAGGACAGTACACACATGCACCTAGGATATGCTGCAGGAGGCGCCCACCCCCACCCCCCTTCTCCACTGTGACTGCGCCAGTCGACTCACAGCCAGCATCTGCTTCTCGCCCACTTCCGCCACACAGGGCCACCAGCCCTTCACTGTCTTCTGTTCAAACAGGGACACAAACCACTCCGGATGGAAAGTATCGTCCAGCTGGTCCAGGGAGCACTTCTCCGCCGACTTGGCAGGCTTGGGCATGCGGTTGAGGTCCAGCTGCAGCGAGCCTGCAACGGAGACGAGTCCTTTGGTCAGGGATTTTCACAATGGCCACCAGCCAGGGGCTACTAGGGCAGGACAGGGGTCAAGAAAACATCATTGTCACCTCCTTGGCTTCAATCCCTGGGCTCAGCCCTGGATCCAATGCCCCAAACCCTCTCCTCTCCATCGCTGTCAGGAGAGGGCTGCCACTCTGCTGTAAGCAATGCTTCCACCCAGGTGCTCGTGCCGGCCTCTGCTCCTCCATTGGCTAGCCCCCAGCAGGACTTGCCACCTCCGACTGTCCAGCTTAGTCTGCAGGGCTCCACTCATCCACCAATGGGCCACACACTGCCGTCGGCCAGGCTGCCCTTCTTGCCCCTACTGATTCAAGGAGCCCCTCTGCGGTACTGACTGAGCTGCCCACCTAGAATCCCCATCCCTGCTCCAGACAGCACCCCCTCTGAGCTTGAATCCTATGGGCAGTGCTGACACGCAGATTTCCCTGCCCTCGAAACGCGGCAACCCCACACGGCTTCACCTGGTCAATCAGCGGCAGGAAGAGAGGCAGAGGAATGGTAAAGGAATCGAGTGAGGGAGAGAGATCTAAAACAGGTGTTTTTAGGCCACACTCGGCAATTCTTGACTATCAAGCAAAGAGCATTAGATTTTCCCAGACTGGGTTTTCTATTTTTTTTTCCCCATTAGATTTTTTTGATACACCCTTTTCCTGTTTTCTTTATGGATTTTCTTCCTTTCCATTCCTTCCTTCATCCATCCATCCACCCATCCCATGCATCGGTCCACCCTCTGCTTTGGCCTGTCTCCATTCACTGACACCTCCCACTTGTTGAGTACAACGTCTGTCTACTGTTCCATCTAATCCATTTGTCCAACTCTCTCCTGGCAGTCCCCCCGCCTCCCCCCCCTCCGGCTCAGGGATGCCGATTTCCCACTTTAAATATGTTTTCCCGATTCAGGTAAAAGGCAGGCATCTTTGTGTTTTTCCTCAACATACTTCTCTAAAGCCTTGTTCCACAAAGGAAGGGGGGCTGGATGGATGGATGTATCGCAGAAATGTTTGAAGTTCATAAGCAAAGGTATTCCATTTTTTTTAAAGTAAATGTGCTTTTTTTCCTTTGCAACGTGTTTTTTAACATCTAAAAAGCTTTGAAAATTCAATAGTGAAGAATGAATGCTCCTAAGTTCTGAGAAGGAAAGTCCCACCCCAAATTCGGATAATAAAAGGGTATCATAATAATATTTAATTATAATAAAACATTACCCAATGTTCCACCTTACAATGTAATAAAGAAATGCATAGAAAACGATAAATCCCACTGGCAAATATTCTTAAAAGATTATAATAGTAGCAAGAGTTTGGGGAGGGAGTTGCACTCTTACGCCAACAGGGCAGAACTAGAGAACAGAGCCGTGAACTGTTTCTAGAAGACAAGTCCATGTTTTAAATACCATTTAGGAAGACTAACAATTCTAGCTCTTAGATCTAAGGAACGCTATGCACAAAGGGAAGGAAGCCCTGGTGGCGTAACGGTTTACGCGTTGGGTAACCACAGCTCTGCTGTTCAAACCCACCAGCCACTCCCGTGGGAGAAAGATGAGGCTTCCTACTCCCATAAAGTGTTACAGCCTCAGAAGCCCACAGGGGAGGTCTGCCCTGTCTCATAGGGTCACTATGGGTTGAATCAACTCGATGTAGTGAATTTTGAAATGCACAAAGGGAACAAAGACATACCCCAAGGGTGTCACCCTCAGTGGAAAACAGAGCATGACCCGAAAACACACACAAGGAGACTGGTCAAGCAACACAGAGGCCATGCTAGGACAGCGCACCAGGCAGACGTGGCTGACGTATCCTGATGCAATAGAGATGCAGGTGGGAAACTATTGGAGAAAAAGGACATCCATGATATAGGATGCTCTTAAAAATCCCGGATAGAAATCAGTCTGTATCCTATATTCTGCTATTTATATATGCCATGTATGTAAACATGCTAAATACACCTGAAGCATACACGTGCCTGTTTATAGAGCTGAAACATATGTGTCAAAATGTCCATGGGAACGATCTTGGGGGGGATGGCGTGAGAGTACAATAAAATGTGGGGGAAGAAACCTTGCTCCCCTGTGGACTCTAATTGTGCTCTGTGAATGCTGCAGCCCAGAATCATAGGTGAACAGCCTATGTGTGCAGGTGAGCAGCCAGGTCTGACGGAGGAACTGGGGAGAGACCCCATGCCTTAGGAAAGGCCACCTCTCCTTCTGAAATCAACAGTCACCTAAGGAGCATTTTGAGGAAATGACCCTAGCCACCCTGCTCCCAAGAGGTCCGGTGAGACTTGAACCCAGGGCCCCTGGCTTCTTCCCACAAGTTCACTTCCACGATTTGTCAAGGCAACTGGTCCCCTGACACTCAAGAGGCCAGCGGACTCACGCCTCCTCCTCAGGCTCTACCCTGGGGGTGGGGGTGGGGGCCCTGCCCCAGCTCTGTGTTGCTGCCTGGCCGTTGGTCCAAGAACCCTGCCTGCCAGGGGCTGGTGATCAGAGCCTTGCTGTTCATCCCTCAGCCCGCAGGCACAAGGGTGCAGAGTGGCTTGATCCCAGTGAGAGAGGAGACTGGTGGGGGCGAGAGCCAGATCACGGCCAGGAGGCCAGGCAACCAGAGCTCCTGGCTCTCCACCTGTGCGACCTGTGCTTCCCCCGCCCCCTTCCCTACCTGAGCCCCACCCCCTGCCATGCCCATCATCAAGAACGCCTCTTGCCAGGTCCACCTGGGTGCCCACTTCAATCACAGCTTCTCCAGCCTCAGGAAGTACTTCCGCCCCCATGGCCCAGAACTCCCTCCCTCCTACCCACCTCCCTATCCCCACCCCCACCCCCACCCAAACTAACAGCCATGGAATCAGTGCTGGCTCAGGGCAACCCACTGTGGGTCTCTGAGGCTGTCACTGTTTACAAGAGTAGAAAGCCCAGTCTCTCTCCCTTGGGGCTGCTGGTGGTTTCAAACTACCGACTATGAGGATCTCGGCCCAACGTGTAACCGCTACCCCACCAGGCAGAAATTCAGACTGCTCCTGCTGCTCTGTCTTCCCGAAGGGGCTTCTAGCAGCAGCCTGAGCTGTGCAGAACGGGGCCAAGGGAAACATGCTCACCCAGGAAGTCGTCGAAGGAGAACTTGTCGTTGTCCCAGATCTGGAACACCACCTGGGCGGGGATCTTGCTCTCGATCTTATCCAGCCTCCAGAAAGCATCCTGGCCCAGAGGAGAAGCAGGAAAGCACAGTGAGCTACAGACCGGGGTCCCCTGCAGCCCGGAGGCTGTCTGGTGGAGGCAGTGGGGTGGGATCTGGCCAGCGCCCTGGATCCTGGCAGGAGGGTGGCAACGGCAGGTTCCAGAGGGCCCACAGGTACCTCACGGGCTCCGTCGCCTCCCACGGCTGTCTAAGCCTCCCGGGCTGAGCTAGGCTGACCATTCCCACTGCAGAGAGGATAAAAACGAGGACTGGCGAAGCCAGAGGCCCAAGATTGTCATTGTCCGATGACTACCACCCTTCCTGTGTATCAGCAGTGAACCAGTCTGAACCCATTGACCTCCCAACATTTTCTGAGGAGACCCAGGTAAGCCGCTGGTCCAACGCTCACCAGCAGGCAGGGAATGGCAGCCAGGGTGCACAGCTGCACGGTCAGGTCCCAGGTCTCTGCTCCCGGCCCTGCAGCCCTGCTCTGCCCACGTGACCTCAGAGTAAGGCTGGGCTGGCTAAGAGCCAGGGGGTCCTCCACTCTACCCTGGCATCCCCAGAGACATCCTTCCTGGCACACTGCCCAGGGGGCCCCTGGCCCCAGCTCCTCCCTCACCCACCACCCTATCATCACTTCTGAGAGCTTGCCCAGGGGAACCTACAGGTCACAGCGCTGGGAAGTCGACAGCCCCCGCCCCTGCAGCTCTCTCTGCGCCCGCCTCCTGTGCAAACCCCACACTCCCTCCCTCAGACAGCCTTGGCGCCCCGGGCAATGCCATCCTGACTTCCTTCCCACAAAGGCTTCATGGAGAGGGAACGGGGTGTGAGGCTCACCATGCAGAGGCCCAGGCCCACCCACCGGACACCAAAAAGATTGTCACTGGGGCCGTCCGCCAACTCAGAGCTGCCCGTGGCCCCAAGTCCCTGTGTGGACAGACTGCAGGCAGGGAGGACACCAGGTCCGTCTGGCTGGCGATGCCTTGCCAACACTGCCTTGCTGCCCAGACAGGGTGAATCGGCCAGGACCAGAGCCTCAGAGTCAGGTCCCTCAGTTCCCACCCTGCTGCTGGACCAAAAACCATGACCACTGTCCCAGGAGGCACGGTCACTTTGCCAGACACAAAGCCGCAGCCTGGGCTGGTGAGACGCTCAGGTCCCCATGCTGGCCCCTCGCTCTCAGTCCCCAGCTGAGGCCTCCCTCTCTTCCAGGCCTGGCTCATGGGGGCCCCCAGCCCTCCCGCAGGTGCTCCCCTCCTCTGGCGGGCTTTTATGGGCGGCCTGCATAGCCCGCCAGCACCCCCACTCCGCCTGGCTGCCCGGTTTATGGGCTCGGTAATGAGCCAGAGGTTCAAACGGCTCCTGGTGGGAGCAGCTGGGCTGGGGCTCCAGCCTGGGGACCGAGCCCCCCCAGGTCCCAGCCGCTCATTACGCTCCCAGCCTGGGCCCTTTTACTAGCTGTTTATTTGCAGGGTGGGTGCCTGACATGCAGGCCGGGCCTGGTGGGTGTGCTGGGCTCCAGGTGGGGGGCAACCAGCGGTGGTTCAAAGCTGCCGGATGAAAGGAGACCTTGTGCTTTATGACAGTCTCGTCTGGTTAATGGGGTCCCTGGAGAGCCGGCCTGCCAGAGGCCCCCCAGCCCCAGGCACAGGGCCGTTCTACACAGGACCCTCAAGCCCAGGGGCTCTGCAGCACCCCACCCCCCACCCCCAGACTTAGTCCCCTCATGCAGAGCAGCTCCCTGGAGTCCCACCAAGGGCCTGACCCCTGGTTCCACGGAAACTCACTGGTCTCACCTGGGCTCAGACAGGCTCCTCTCGCCCGCCTGACTTCAAAACCTCCTCCGACCTCCTCCCCGTCTCCCCTTCACATGCAGCTTCCACCCACTGGGCCTCCCCTTCAGCTCCTAGGCCTGCCCCTTATCCTGCTCTCCATCCAAGCAGCCCTCATGGGCATCTCTCTCCGAGCACACAGTCCATTGGGCCCGAGGCCACCACCCCTTCTCTTCCGCAAACCCTCCTCCCCTCTCCTGCTGTGGCACTCCCATGAGCCAGCCCGACTCTCTCCTTCCTCCCTGGGACCCCCACATCACTGCCCAAAGGGAGCCCCCAGCAGCCACAACGGGGTTCTTCCCTGGGCCACAGTTCACACCTCACGCTGCCCTACTCCCTGTGCCCCCCTTTGAGGGCAACACCTGGTCCCCACCTTCCTCTTCTGTCTTGCACCACCCGCTGCCCTGCTGCTCGGAGGTTCTCTGTCCTCCTGCTTGGTAGGAAAAATGGGAGCGTCACCTTCCTGAGACTCACTTCCCAAGGACAAGGCAGTGGCGGGGACAGAAACCTCACCATGAGAGGGGCAGGGGCAGCAGCAGTGGTCAGGTGGCGGGGTGTGGGGTCCAAGGCAGTGCCTGTGGCGGTGTCACCCCTCGAACATCCGAGAGTCCTGGGACCAGTATCTTTGGGGACGAAGGCCACACTCACCTTCTTAGTGACGGTGCAGGCCTGCTCCGCTGGCAGGTAGTCAAAGGGGAAGATGAACCTCCAGTTGAAGTTGCCTTCACCGCCCAGGGACCGATAGTGCACATCTGTCTTCTGTTTGTGTTCCTCAAAGCCAACCATCCAACTGGACAGAGGGGTTTTCAGAGAGCATCTTTAACGTTAAGTTTCCACTGCAATATCTACAAGCAGTCTTCCACTTAGACGGACAGAAGCATTAAGAAGGTCTGAGGAATTAAGAAGGAATTCAAAGGCCTTGGTGGCATAGTGGGGTAAACTCAATGGTCTGCGGTCCACAAGGTCAGTGGTTTGAACCCACCAGGCCCTCCCAGGGAGAGAGATACGGCTGTCTGCTCCTGCCAAGTTCACAGCCTTAGAACCCCACGGGGGCAGCTCTATCCTGCCCTGACCAGGCTGCCGAGTCAGCACTGACGCAATGGCAATGGGTTTGAGAAGGTCTTTGTTTGTTTGTTTGTTTGTTTGTTTGGGTGTATGTGAACTTGGTGATGATAAGCAAAAAGAACACCCAGAAAGTCTTCATGATATACAACCTGGCCCATGAATTTAAAAGCGATCTAACTTCTCAGTGCCATTAAGTTCAATCCAGAGATACACCCAAAGCCAAACTCACAGCCAGCGAGTCAGAACTAGAAGAACTGACTCCCCAAAGGCATGAACCACCCTCAGGGCTCTCTCCTTCCTTTCTTCGTTGACCTGCCTTACACCAGACCTGCCCCACGACACCACACACACAACACACATGCACTCATACCTACTCACTCACATGCACTCACGTGCTCTCACGCACACACTCTCTACACTCTCAATTACACATAGACTCTCATACTCACACACGATCACTCACACTGTCGCTCACACACACACTTATTCACACTCACCCTCTTTCTCACATACACTCTCTCACTCACACGCACTCTCTCTCTCACAGGCACACACACCCTCTTACACTGGGTACCACTGCACAGGCAGTGGGGCCACCCCGGAGCGCCGCCCCCCAGAGCGCCGGGCGAGAGGACGCCGCACCCTTTCACGTAGATGTCGCTCATCTTCTCCCCGGTGATGCTCAGGTCGTCCAGGATCACGTCCCTGGTGTTCCAGACAATACAGCGCAGGAGGAACCTGGGCAGGAGAGGGCCAATGCAAAGCCATGGGGTCTCCCACCAAAGCCAGGGCCTGTTTTAGGGGCCCCTCGCTGCCCCCAAAGACTCGCATGCTTGCCTGGCAGGACACGTGGCCGGATCCACACAAGAGCTATACCCAGCAGCCCAAGGGGCTCAAAATGTGGGTGACTTCCTGGCCACACCCTCAGCTGGCTCTGACGACCCTGGCTCCCACCCACCCCCACCCCACCCCCCGCCGCAGTTCAGCTGGGGAAGGCACCTTCTGGCTCTCCGTGGAGTGATGTTGAAGGGAGGTCCAGGCCGCCCCAGGGCCTTTGGAAACAGGTCAATCCACATCTGCAGCTTTCCCTGTGGGGACATTAGCACGCTCTCTTCATCAGTCTGTTCTTTCCACCAGCATTGACGGAGCACCTACGCTGGACCAGACCCATGGGGAATGGGACAGAGAAGAGGCCAGGTGCCACGTGGCTGGGCTCAGCATCCCCTCTCTTGGAAGGACCCTAAGCAGAGGGCTAGAGAGCCAGGCACAAGGCGAGCCCACAACTGCCCAGGCCACCAACCCGGATCCAGGCTGGCCTCCAGGACCAGGAGAGGCTGCTCAGAGATGGTGACTTCTGAGCAGTCTCGGTGTGCGGGCTAGAACCGGGAGGACCCTCAAGGCCCGGGGAATGGGGTCCTCAAAGCCCCAGAGGGACCCTAGAGGGTGGTTGAGTCATGGAAGGGCTCTGGCTTCCGGCACTGAAAAGTACTCTCCCTGCCCGCCCCTCCAGCCCACCCCTTGCCGCCAGCCAGGGTTCCTCCTTCAAGAGTCATGAGCTCAGGCTTCTGCGAGGTCACAGACGAGAGTCCCTGTCATGCCACTCCAGGGTGTCAGGGAGCAAATGACCTCAGGAGAAGAGTTGAGGTCCAAACACGGGGGTGGAGGGTGGGTATCCCCTGTACAGTCACACTTCAGGGTGTCTTCGCCCCCTGCACCCGCCCTCTCTGCACAGGAATGGACTCTATAGGCCCCACCAGCGATTGCTCTTTGGCTGCTGCCCTCTCGTCAAGGAGTGCTGGTCACCCTGTCTGAACACCCCCAGCTCGTGGCAGCACAGGGAAGGACTGACTGATGATAAAGGAGCAGGAGGCCGCTCGGCCGGGTTGAGCCCCCAAGACTTCAGAAGGATAGGCAGCCAGAAGCCAGGATCCCCAGGAGGAGGTGCAGAGGGGCACTTAACAGGCCCTAGGGGCCAGGCTCAGGAGGTCCCCTCCTGGTCCCCCAGTGATGAGCATTCGGAAGGCGGGGTGGTAGTTAGGTGATTGTACATCAACTGTCATTGGTTAGAAAGTGTGTGGGCAGTGGATGGGGAGTCCAAAATGTCACTCAGCCTGGTGATGCCTCCTTGGGGGCGTGGCCTTCTTATAAGAAGATACTGGGAACCTCTCTCTCTCTCCTGCTCTGTGTGACTTTGTCTTCCTGCTTGTTGGGAACCTGCCTCCAGGTGTGGCAGCCCCATGTGGCCAGCCACATTCCTGCTGTTCTTACATCCTGGCAACTCTGCCCCCACCAGCCCATGGCCCTCCCAAGTCTGGTTTCACCTTTCTGCTCCAGCAGCCTGCAGCGTCCTGAGTCTAAAGGGAGGCTTAGGGGCTAGCCTCAGAAAGATGGGATTGAGTTGGACTGGCTGGGATACCTTCTTCATAGAATCTTACCTGTGGTATAGACTCTTTTTTGATGCATGCATGAGTGTCCCTGGGTTTATTTCTCTAACACCCCAGGCTAACACAATGGGGACACAGCACCCAAGAGGAGCTGAGTAAAACCCGAGGGTGTCCACGCTGTGCTCAAGACAGGGCCACTGGGGTTCAGGGACTCTGGGCCCACGGCCAAGGACTCACCTGCTCGATGTCGGGCTGCAGGGGGCTGTAGAGAGGTCGGGACTCCACGTGCTCTGGGACCAGGCCTTGCTGCTGAAGGACATGTAAAGCCAGACGCTCCTCCACGGGGCCCAGGTGTGGGTTAGGGACTCTGTTAGCCTCTGTCCCAGAGAAGATACAAAAGGGACATGGTCCAGGTGAGTAGGTAATGGCAGAAGTGCCGGGTAAGCCAGCTAAGCAGAGCTGGCTGGAAGCTGCAGGAAGCCCCTGGGCCTACAGCCTCACCCCCATCCTGTTCTCCCTTCCTTCCCCATGCTTTCTGCAAAGGAAGCATCACCATCGAGGAGTTCAACAACCCATCCCCGTGACCACTCTTCCCACCCAATCTCCTGCACACAGCACTCCCTCCCTCCCTCCCCCCACCCTGCCTGCTAACGCCCATCCTGACCACCCCTAACTCTGCGCCTTGGCATCCTTGGCCACCAGATCTGGCATTTAAGTTCAAGTGAGTTACTCTATTAGGGGCAGTGCCTAAGATCACAACAGCAATCATGAACGTCCATGTGCACTACGGGGCGGTCCAGATATTAGCATGTTTCCCCTGCATCCGAACCAGGGAGGTCCTTGCAGGTGGTCTCACCATTGACAGGTAAAAAACCCAGGCCTGGAGAAGAAGCCACCCATCAGGTGAGTGGGCCAGCTGGGATTCCAGACTGTCTCCTAAGTGAGATCACATGCTCACTTAGGAAGGGTGAGGCCGGACCGTAAGCGCCCCCCACCCCCACCCCGAGATCCCCTCACACTTCCCAGGTGCAGCCCTTCCTGCCAGGAGGTGGGTCTAGGACAGCTGCCATGAACAGGAGACGCTCAGACACTGAGAGGGGTGCCGACAGCATGCATTTAAAGTCCCGGTGAAGTAGTGGCCTACCCATGAAGCTACTAACCACAAGGTCAGTAGTTTAAAACCACAAGCCGCTCCAAGGGGAAGTGTAGGAATGAGGCTTTCTATTCCCACAAGGAATGAGGCTTTGGGCAAGTGGCATAGTGGTTACGTGTTGGACTGCTAACTGAGGTCATGGGTCAGGGTGGGCAGAAGGTCCAAAGTCAGGGCTCAGTCCAAAGGTAGGCTGGACACAATTGGGGGGGTCAGTGTGATTTGAGGTCTAGACCATAGTTAGACCTGGTCTTCTGAGGCTGGGTGGCCGTTTAGATGTTGATTGGAGTCTGGAGTACAGTCTACCTCGGAGAAACTGTTTGCAATTGGAATTACACCCTGGTGGCTTTGGTGGGTTACGTGTTGGGCTGATAACCTCAGGGTCAGCAGTTCAAAACCACCAGCTGCTCTAAGGGAGTGAGATGAGGCTTTCTACTCCCACAAAGAGATACAGTCTGGGAAACCCACAGGGGCAGTTCTATCCTGTCCTATAGGGTCACTGAGTCAGAATCGACTCGATGGCAGTGAATGTGGTTTAAGCTGTCTGCCTGAGGAGCCCTCCAGGTGCTGTGGTTGAGCACTGCGCTGTTAACCACAAGGTCGGTGGTTCCACCCCACCAGCTACTCTGCAGAAGACTGATGAAACTTCCTGCTCCCACAACGATTTGGAAAGGGTCCCTGGAAGTCAGAAACAATGGACGGCAGGGGTTTTTTATTTTAGCCTGCCAACTTGGCTGTGCCAGTCCTTTGAAGGCCCCCCTCCTTTGGCCCTACCACCACCTTCACAGGCACTGTACCCCAAACCTCAAAAGGCCTCTCAGGGCAGGGGGGTGGGGGGGGGCTGCTTCTCTCATCAGAGAAACTCATCCATCTGCTCCGAGGCTTGGGGTGTCTGTGATGCCCACTGCCCAGAGCAGCTCAGCCACCCCTTCTGGTGGGGCAGGGTGTTGGGTGGTAGGGCTTATGCCACAGTTGGAGAAGGGGGAGGGGACTGAGCCGGCTGCTGGCCCATCTCTCTCTTCCACGGAGCAGCTGGTGGTTTTGAACTGCCGACCCTGAGTTTAGCAGCCCAACATGTAACCCACTGAAGCCACCAGGGTGTGATTCCAATTGCAAACGGTTTCTCCGAGGTAGACTATACTCCAGGCTCCAATCAACCCCTAAACCGCCACCCAGCCTCAGAAGACCAGGTCTAACTATGGTCTAGACCTCGAATCACACTGACCCCCAATTGTGTCCAGCCTAGCTTTGAACTGAGCCCTAACCTTGGACCTTGCATCCACCCTGACCCTTGACCTCAATTTCCACCCTGGGCACTAATTTTCCCAATGACCATCCCAGAAAAGTACTAGTATCAAAAGGACCCGGTGTGAGTTTAGCTCCTCTGTGCCATCCTGGGGAGGCTGAGCCTGTGCCCTGGGTCAGGTTCAAAACCAAAACCAAATTCACTGCCAAGAGCCTGCAACTCTTGAGTGGAGTAGAAAGCCCGTCTGTTTCCCACGGAGAGGCTGGTGCATTCAAACTGCTGATCTTGCAGTTAGCAGCCCAATGGGCCTCTGTGGTCGGAGATGGCCTGGCGAGGCAGAAAGCAGCGAGGGAGGCCGTCCCTGGGTTCGGGGTTCTCTCAGTAGCTCACCCTTGTCCGCAATGGTGTATTCTTGACCCTGAAACACCACCCGGTCTGTGTGGTACACCGGGGCCTTGAGCCGGTGCTGCTGGCAGAAGAGGTGCAGGAGCTGGGAGGGGCGGAGCTGGTCCCTCCACTGGTTCGGTCCAGAGCTGAGGCCCAAACACAGACAAAGGTCAGGTGTTCTGAGCACAGGAGCAGGGTGGAGGGGAGCGGTGTGGTCTGCGCATCTGCACACACAGCCACAGCGCCACCCACCCTTCCCTTTTACCGCGGGCTCCCCATCTCATCTCTGAGGGTAGAGAATCGGACCAAACAAGACTCGAGTTGGGGTGTGGGGGGCCGTCCACACGCGAATTCACCTGGCAGAGACCTTCACAGGATCCCCCCTCTACTCCAGCAGGGGCCTGTGGTCATGCTGTGGATCTCCCAGCCTCCCTCCCGGCCCTGTCTCTGTCCAGGCACTTGGCCCCCACAGGCCACTGGTGCGCCCTAAAAGTTGAGTGATGACAGCCAGGCCAACATCCAAGTCCTATGCTGACGCCACCACTTCCTAGCCTCAGATTCCTCATCTCTGGGGCGGGAGGAGGAAGTGCGTACACGCGGCGAGGCGCTGAGCCCAGCCGGCACCAGCAAGTGCTCGGCGAGCCCTGCAGGTCCGCACTTAGAGAACCGTTCACTCCCCTCGCACGTACACACAGTAGGTCTGGGGGAGTCCACAGCGCGCCCCGAACTTGGACAGCAGCCTGTTCTCCAGGTCGATGGTGGTCTCCCCGATCTTCTCGTCCTTGGTCATGAGGTCATAGTCGTAGAGGGCGATCTTCAGGTCCTTCTCCAGGGGCAGAGTGCAGGTCAGCTCGAACATCCTGCAGGAGGGGCGTGGGGTCAGGGGGCACTCGAGGGGACTGCAGTGAGAACAGAACTCAAGGGCCACCCTGGGGTCCACAGCGCCACTGTCCTGTCCTTGAGTCTCCTGCAGCTCTTAGCACACACCACCTTCAGCGCTCGGAGCTGATCCTGCAGGGGGGAGTGTGTGCGTGCGTGCGTGCGTGCATGCGTGCATGCGTGTGCATGCCGGGCACAGGGCAGGTGTCTGACCAGCCACAGAAGGGCCTGACGAACCAGAATAGAAGGATGGAACACTACAAAGCAAGTTCCCACCAGGACCAGCTGTCCGAGTCGGCCCCAACTTGAGCAGCCCAGTGTGTCCAGGCAGAGCTGGGCTTCACGAGGTTATCAATAGCTGGCATTCCACGTCAGGTGGCAGGCCTTTCTGAAGAAACACCTTTGGGTGGATTCGAACCATGCTGACTGCCTACAGACACCACCTGGGCCTCCTCAGCCCGGGGGCCAGAACAGGACAGACCTGAAATGCCAGAGCCAGAGCCCCTCGGGCAGGATGTCTTGGTGGGTGTCTTAGGCCTCTCAGGGTACCACACATGCTTGGGGGAGGGGGGGCGATGAGGGGAAACTTTGTGAGGATTTCTGCAGAGGAGAGGTGGGCCTCGGGAGGCCAGCTCAAGGGGTTCTATGTCCTGTCCAGGAGGCCTCGAAGGGGCGGCAATGACAAGACACTGGAGCGGGCACCATCGGAAAGCCAGGGCCCAGGGCGGGAGGCAACCAGCTCAAAGGGCGCCATATCTGCTGTGTCACCAGAGGCTGAGAGAGGGGTCTCAGAGTCCGGATCCACAGTCTAAGCTCAGCCCCCTTCAGAAGGCTCCAGCCACTGCTGCGAGGGAAATGGGCACGTGAGGTGGCCTGTGCCCCAAATTCAAGTTCCCCAGGCCTGACCCTGTAGGAGTCAGAGGCTTTAGTGGCTGGCCAGAGGTGAGACAGGGAATATTTAACAGGGAGTAGGAGAAAGACAAAGCTCCTCCCCTCCTGCCACGCAGCCCAAAGCCACGACCACCTAGTGTATTCCTACTCACACCTCACTAGACAGGCGTCCATGGTTGTACATCTTTACTGAGCAGACAGCCTCATCCTGCTCCCACGGACAGGCTGCCGGGGTTGAACAGCTAACCTTGCAGTTCACAGACCAATGTTTAACTGACAGCCACCAGGTCTCCTCCCCACAGCTATACCCAGAGCAAGCCAGGGAAGACCACCCTCCATCCATTCGGGGTCTTCATGCATCCCGGCGCCTGGACAAGATGTGGGCCTAGAGCTAACAGTGATCGGGGACACTGCAGCCTGCCCACTGCAGAGGCCAAGAGGGACGGGGCGGGCTGGCCCACAGACTCAAGAGTTCAGGGCACACTGGAGGGCAAGGGACGCTGTGATCTGATGATGCCCCATGGGCTGTGCTTGCTCGGTCTAGGGGCTGTAGGAAGAAAGGGCCCCTGAAAGGCCAGGGCCATAAAATGCCAGGGATGTGGTCAAAGGGGACTGGGAGAGTGGGCTCCTCCTTCCAGAGGAGGACCTGGACCCTGGACCCCCATTGTGGACCTCACCTGCTCACTCTCCCACCCACCATGTTTGGAGTCCATCCAGCAGGCAGTACAGGACACCCGGCTCTTCTCTTCCCTCCGGCCTTTCCCTCCAGCCAAACCCTCAAGAGAGCTCCCACCGGCCTGATCATTTCCCCTGGCTGCCTGGGTCCTCACTATGGGCTCAGGGGCAACAACTAACTCAACAGTCACCCAGGAATGCTGTGTCCAGCTGCAAACCTCCCTTGACAGCTTGGCTTTCAGCTTTCTCTGCCACCCACACTGACAATCTCACGCCATCAAGTTGATTTTGGCTCTGAGCAGCCCTCTAGGATGGGGAGAGCATCCTTTGTGGGTTTCTGAGACTGTAACTCTTTATGGGAGTAGAAAGTCCCACCTTTCTCCCCCAGAGCTGCTGGTGGATTTGAACTGCCAACCTGGTCATTATTAGCCCGACTCATGACCCAAACGCCACCAAAGCATCTTGTCCAAACCACAGGGCCCCTGAAAGCTACTCCAGGCTGTGGGCACTGCTTCTTCCATCCCTGGTTGTCAGAATTCAAGAATCGTGGCACAGCCTCAAGAGCACATTCTTCCTCTAGGTGTGGACCACACACTGGCATGGGATGAGGAAAGTGGCCATGTCAGTACTAGGTGCCAGGTGCTCTCTCGGGATGGAGACCGGAACGGTCAAAGCACGCGAGTGAAATCCTAATAAAGCCAAGTGCTTTGTAATAACGTTGTTGGTGGTGGTGGTGTTGATAGCTGCCTTCGAGTTGCTTCCAACTCATGCCAACCCTATGCTCAACGAAACAAAACTCTGCCCAGTCCCGATCCATCCCCACAACTGCTCTTATTGGATGGTATTGTCTCAAGGTCAAATTCTTACTTTCGGCAATGTTCCCCATTACACAAGACGCTGACAGTAAGGGCAATTGAGCAACGTGCATAGGGGAATCTTGTGTGACCTTTGTGGCATTCCTGTAAAAAGTCTGCAGTTTTACTCCCCAGAAAACATTTCATTAAAAATAAAACAAAAACCTCACTCAAACTCGCTCTTGGAATTCATGGCAACCTTATTCGGCAGGGTAGAACTGCCCCCTGTGAGTTTCTGAGACTGTAACTCTTTACAGAAGTGGAAAGCCTCGCTTTTCTCCCACGGAGCAGTTGGTGGGTTCAAACTGCTGGCCTGGCGGGTAGCAGCCCCACACAGAACCCAGGCGTGCTCTGTGTTTCCATCTGGGTATCTGAGCTTGCAGGAGATTGTTCGCGTGTTTACTAGGAGCTTCTGCTGGGACTCAAGCCTTTATTATCTGATAAAGTCACCGAGGCTCGAGCCCAAAGACACACGACACAGGAAGCCGAGCTCAGCACGAGGAGATGGGGCTTGTCAGCAGTGGCCATGTTCCCCCCACTGAACTGTGGGTTTTCCAGACTGGCTCCCCCACCCCAAGGCCCAAGCTGACCTCAACTTACTTTCCAAATACAGGCTCCAGGGTACAGGGGATGTAGTTATCCTGGTCGCTCACCGATTTCTTCCCTATGGAAATCTTGACGTAAGGATCACACTGGAGGAAGAGTCAGAAAAACACAAGTGAAATCACTGTGCCAACCCGGCTTGGAAGCCGCTTGGCTTCTGCCTCCTGGTGGAAGTAGGTAGAGACCACCTAGAAGCTGCTGTGTAAACTCTGGTCTGTCAGGCCGGGGGTCCCCACCACACTGCACACAGCCTCTGTAGTGCATCTAGGGTGCAGAAATATCCCATCTTCCCAGCCCACTGCTCACTGATGAGAAGGTGTAGAGGGGGTGGGCCCATAGCCTCAGAAGCACCCCAGCTTATATTATATATCTGACTAAGCCAAGCGGGTCCCTATGGATGCTCTCTGTTGAAATGCTGGCAAGGAAGAGAGAGTCCACCCCGCCCAGTGCAAGAAAGCAGTGGCATTCTCAACTAGCCTCCAGGAGCATCCAGGGCTCTGGAGGGCCCAGGTTTACTGTGGCATCGAGAAGCGTCTCTGGCCAGGACCACACCTTGGATCATGGACCTTGTCCATTATGCACCGTGAGATGCCTCGACCAGGGGGCTACAAGGCAGGGCAGCCAAGACTGCTCAGCCAGGGAAGTCAGGGTTCTGGGGTCAGATACTGGTTTCCTGCTAAGCCTGAACTCTCTCTCCTAAAGAGATGAGAGCACCCTCTCTCAATGATCTCTAAACTCCAAGAGTCTTCTCCCTCAGCCTCTCATTTCTGTGTGTGCGTGTCTCTCTCTCTCTCTTCTTCCAGCCTTACTCCTGCCCTCCCACCCCCTCTCCTTGGAATGCTGGATTCCTTCCCCTCTTCTAACTCTCCTCCTCACACAGGGCTGATTCTACAGAGGCAGCTCAGGCACTTAGCTCAGGCACAAAATGCAAAGGGGTTTCAAAACGCTAATAAGACAAATCACGTTGTAGCGCAAGTTCAGCTCGTGCCAACCATCCAAGACAGGGTCAGTAGCACTGATGTTCCCTTTTGCCTGGGATCTGCCTCCTTCCAGCCCACCACGGGGAATCTTAACAAGTTCAATCTCCACCGACGCCTTCAATGCTATTAATCCTGCCAGCTCATCGTTGTTCTAAACACACATTCAACATTCTACTTTCACAGCTTTGCCAAGGCCTTTGACCCCTCCCCAAATATTTTCTTCCTTTTCTTTCTAGTCACCAATACCCTCCCCATCCTTAAAAGTCCTATCCCTCTCAGGAAGTGCTCCCCTGGATGCAAAGTCCTGCCCTGACTGTGACCTTCCCCGACCTCCCGGACTCCTTGGTCCTTGGTAGAAGTCCATCCAGTTGCTGTTCAAGGTTGTATGTGCGTGTCTACTTCCCCGCTCCTTGGAGCACAGGCTGCGTCTGATGCTGCGGTCCACTCACACCCACACCTGCGAGGGATGTTACCTTTCCATTAGTGTCCTTGGGCTGCAGGCCAAATGCCCGGACAATGTAGATGCGGACCAGACACTCCTGGGGCCCCTGGGCAGCCGGCTGGTGGAGCTGTCTTGGGGGCACAGGGACGGCTGGATCTTCTGGGAGAGGATACATTTTGAAGAGGCCCTGCAAAGAATCCGGTGATGAGATTGGAACTGGTGCCACCATTGTCATCCACACAATCAACGTTATGCCATAGTTCTCATCCGTCTCCGAGTCACTGCCAGGCAGAACACCAAGGCCACTGTGCTCCTACCAACGCCATCAGGAGCTGCAGCAACACCATCACCGCCACCTCCTCCATCACCCGTGGTGACAGCATCAGCACCAGACCATCACTATAATGCTGCCAATAGCCCTTGCCCCTCCCCCTTGCCTCGCTGCTGCCACTCCAGACGTCCACTCACCTGAGCTCTGGCCATGGCTTTAAGGACTTACCTTAAATTCTCCAATGACAGATGGATCTTCCGTCTCTTCTTGAGTCTTGCCACGGTAGAGCTTGAAGGTGTTGCAAAAATCAGACAGGCCCTCAAAGGCTTCCACGCTCTCTAGCTGGGTATCGTAGACCTGCATGCGCAGTGACGAGAGACGGGACAGGGGACAGAGAGAAAGCAGAGGTCAGCAACGGAGAGCAAGCAGGTAAAGAAGGCCCAACATGACAGTGAGAGTGACGGGGGAGTGGGAAAGGAGAGGGGGAGGGGGAGGAAGGAGAAGGCAGGAAGAGCATTAGGAAAATGTGGGCATAGAGAAGGGCAAGGTTGGAGAGGTAGAGGTGTAAGAAGGGAGCCAAGGAGGGCGAGAGGGGTGGGAGAAAATAAGAGCAAGGCAGAGATGATGGGGAGGCACGTGTGAGGGTAACAGAGAAAGGAGAGAGGGGAAGCCAGGAGGAAAAAGTTCAGAGAGGAAGATGTTTATTCGGCACCATTAAGGAATAGGGTTTTCTGGGAAACCAAATAGTCCAAGTGGCTGTCATAGAATAAGATCACAGCCAAGCAAATAAACATTAAGCTCGGTAGCTTTTGTAGTTGAAGATTCAGAGACCCGCAGGGAATTAAAGAGTCAACATTTCAGCAAAAATGCCCATTGTCTAGGCTGCCCAGATAGCAGTGGTATCAAATATAGGACTGAGCATGTCCTCTGAGTACCACTTTAAACTGTGGGTGCAATTTCTTTCTCTTTCTTTTAAAGCTCATTTTCTTGGGGGCTCTTACAGCTCTTATAACAATCCATACATCAATGGTATCAAGCATATCTGTACATATGTTGCCATCATCATTTTCTAAACATTTACTTTCTATTTGACCCCTTGGCATCATCTCCTCTTTTTCCCTGCTCTCCCTACCCTCCCACCCTCATGACCCCTTGATACATTATAAATTATTATTGTTTTCATAGCTTACTCGGATCACTGTCTCCCTTCACCCATGTTTCTGTTGTTCATCCCCCTGAGGGGGGGAGGGGAGTATGCATTGATCACTGCAATTGCTTCCCCCTTATTCCCCTCATCCCCCCGCCTTCCCCCTTCCCTCCTGGTATTGCTACTCCTATTTCTGTTGCTAGGGGTTTATCTGATCTGGATTCTTTGTGTTATGAGCTCTTATCTGTACCAGTGTACATGCTGCAGTCTAGCCAGAGCTGAAAGGCAGGACTGGGGTCATGATAGTGTGGGGTAAGGAAGCCTCAAGGAACCAGAGGAATACTGTGTGTTTCATCAGTGCTATACTGCGCCCTGGCCTCATCCCTTCTTTATCTTTTCTCATACAGTCAGGGTTAGGACGGTATTTCAGACCTGCTTACCTCAATGAAGCTACGGCTTCCTATTAGAGACGGTGAAGTGGACCTGGTACACAGTGATGCTGAACAGGTTCGGATACTTGCTAAATTGGTTGGTGCTGACATTTATAGACAGGCTACTTCAGGTATGTTCCCCTCTGTCTGGCTAAATCGATCTTCTTGTTTAGGCCCAGTCAGAGTTCTACCTAAGCCACAAAATTCAAGTTCTAGTTCTTCAAGAAACATTTCATGATGCAAGTGGTAAGTTTTAGTATTTAAAATTAGCATCTATAAGGACTTGTAAAGAAAGGGTTCGTGTTGCCTTAAAAATCTGATTCTCCAAAACAAGCAATTCGTTATTTGGTTTACATTGGGAACCTGTGAATATTTTCTCTCTCTCTATTTATGCCAAAATAGGATCACAGGAGATACACTGTGCTGTAATTTGGGATTTTTCACCTGGCAGGGCGAATGTCATGGGGCTCAAAAAATATACTTCCAGAACATCCTTCCAAAGACCATACAATATTCAAATGTGCCAATGAACCCTAATCTAGAGTGAACATTTAGTTTTGCAGGGATTTTTCCCTGTCACTTTGAAAAACACGATGAACAATGGGACACGTATGCTTTGTGCACGTGTTATAAGTTCCTAGAAGAAGAATTCTTGGTCAAAAGATAGGCCCATGTAAGACCTTTGATGCACACAACCAATTGCCCTCCTCAGAGCCGCTGAGCCGTGTGAGCCCGCTGCTGCAGCCCCTGTCCCAGTGCAGCTCCCTGGGGACGCGTTTCCTCTGCTTTGCTGACCCTCTGCCAACCGGGATGTCTTGTTCGAGCAACTGGTTTTCTGATGATGTGTCCGCAATAGAAATCGGTTGTGTATCAAATGTCTTCGAAATAGTTTGCCCAGTTTGTCACTTATGATACGCCTGTTTTTAGACACATCAACATTTCTGGATTACCTCATCTAATGGTCTCTGTCTTTAGGCCCGTGCCTTGCAAATTATGCTTAGAACGTCTTCACAGCCAGATTATTAAATTCCACACTGTATTTTCTCCTTGATTTCTCATTGAAGCCTCTCTTTCATCTGTAATTTACTTCTGTTCCTGGTGTAAACTAAGAATTCACACTATGTACAGCAGTATCATTTCCCAAAATGGTCTGGGGGTTGACCAATTCCCAAGCCTCGTATTCTGGCTCTCTCTCCTTCTCCCGGTGGCCCATGTCACAGTATTTTAAACGTGTGTGCACCCTGCCATTTGTTGGTGCTCCGCTGGGCTGTCCCTACTGATCTCTGGACCCCTGCTGCCCATCACCACAGTGCTTGCTTCATTGCATGCTTTGATCCCTGGGAGAGAAACCTACCCTCTTCATTCTTATTCTTTATTCTTGCTTTTCAACGTTCTCTTGGCTGTTCTTTCACACTCATTCGTCCAAGTGAAATGTTGAAACATTTAACACCACTCTGAGTAGACATTTCTTGATGGATTTTGGTAGAATTGCAACAAACAAGAAATCATGCCAGGCTCCCTCTCTCCTTCAAAACGGATAGCTTTACAGTACTGATCTTTGCCTTCCCAGGATAACTTGATTCTTGACTCATTCAAACCTTCCTTTATTATGATTTGATATTATCTTCATTGAACTGTAGATAAACAAAGGATAGCTGGCTGAATGAATGGATGGACGGACAGAGAGGAACAAACAGGTAAAAAGATAGGTAGGCAGATAGGTAGGTAGGCAGGTAGACAGCCATGCAGGGGACCAGCTCTAG